TAAATTAGAACCTTTCTGCTGATATAGCATTGCAAGTTTCAATATAACAGTGAGCACTAGTTTTCGTTTAGGAAGATCTGGTGAAGTAACTTTATTCATTTGACAGATGAGAGTAAACTGTCTTGTTTGTATGAGGCTGTTGTACATTTTCTACAACTGAGCAATATAGTGGGTCTTAAAGCAAAAAGGTTTTACTTTCAAGAGATGAAATGGAGTACTAGCAGGTCTCCACAAAGAGAAGAAACTTTGGAACTCTGGAAGTTACATAACCTTAGTGACAATAGTGAAAGGTTTTTGAGTGGGAGAGTTAAAGGTTTCCTTAGGCAACCAATGCTTTTTCTTCTTTGGTTGTGGACTTGGTCAGCTGAGCAGATTCCAATGTCTTCTGCAACTCTTTATTTTAGCTGAAATGTTATAAGCAGATTCTTTCTAATAATAAAAAGATTTTTTAAAATAATTGTGGTGTTTGGTCTAGTTATCTCGGCTAATTCTAGGGGACTTGTTACTTCCCACTAGCATAAGTACTGGGACTGTCCAAGTTATAAATAGAATGTTGCTACAGGAACAATAGATTTTTTATTTTTTAAAAAATAAGCTCAAGACAACACAAAAGGCATAATAATAGTAGTATAAATGTAATATTGACATGATCCATGTACAATTCTTGTGTCCATTTTTCTTGGATATGTCAACCACTCTTGATAAATGCCAAGTAAATTGCCATCTTCCAAGCTTTTGTTGTAGGATTGTATGCAGTCTGGCAAGTCCCAAGGCTTTTCATGTCATCTGGTGTGATCACAGAAAGGCTCCAAATTTTAATTTCAAGAAGTCACAGGTTTTAATCTTGTCGTAGACAAAAGCCTAGTATCTAAGTGAGAACGATAGATGTTCAAACTCATTAGAGTTTCAAATGATATGCCACTCCCCATGCGAATTTCTTGGCAATTAAAAAAAATTGAAACCATTTCCAGACAGGTGTAGAGAGAAAATCTGACTGGTACAGTGTACATTCACTAAACTATGTTAATTTACCAAGATTAAGTGGTAATTTGACATATAAATTAAAGCTTATGTAAATGACATTTGACAGGCTAGAGATCGCTTATGCATCATGCCAATCCCTCGCGCATACAATGTTTTTTCTTTTTATCTTTTGAAGAAAAAAAAATGGACTCTTATTGTTAATAGAAGGAAGTAGATTTTATAATTTTTAAAATTGTTATAATTGGTTCTCGTACTTCGAATCACATCATTCCAGTAAGATTTTTATAGTGTATAATGAGGCTCTGCGCTATATGTAACAAACAGTTACCATCGTTCCAGTAAGATTTTTATGTGTTATGATCAAACAGTTACCATCGTACCAAAAATTATACAACTTATAACAAAGGAGCAACTTTATTTTTTTAACGAAGCCTACCAAGCAGGCACCATATTCAACCATGACCTTGACCCGTCTATCCCTTCACCTGGGCCTCGCCATAGGCAGGATATTGGCATTACCCAACAATATATACATTAGACGCGGGTGCATAATCTTAGTATCTCAAATGCTAATTAACAGAGAATTACACATCAGGAGTGCTACAAATGCAGCTTTAAAGACCATCTATAATTCCTCAATTCTTCCAAGAATCTCTCTTTAAAACACCATATACAAAAGGATAATCCTGATGTTTCTTTATCATGGATGTTGAAGCAGAGGACAAACCAGGCCCATCTGAATAATCTATGGGAGGGATACCAAAAATGTTAAAGCTGGTTTACTCAAGAATCTGATGTTCCAAACATCAATAGGAACTTAATATCCTACCAAAAGGTTTCTGAACTGCATAAGATTATTCATCCAGTTTAGCATGATTCTTTGGTGGTGTATTTGATGAGCTCGAAATATTTGTCTCAGGATTTTCAAGATCTCTTTCTTGCTCTTTCTGCTTCTCCCCCACCTTTTGAGTTACATAATCTCCTGCTTCTTGAGGATTGCCTGGTGGCACTCCTGGATCATTTTTGTTTGAGGAGCGTTGAACTGCATCTGTCGACTGTGCAGAGGCATCCTCAGCTATGGATGACGAGGCCTTTACCAACTCAATACTCGGAATCGACTTGCATTGCTTTTCAAACATCTCCTGGAGATATCGCCCTTGTTCTTCTATACGCAGCTGCAGATTTCTTTGAATCTGTAAAAGTTCATGACAATAAAAGCACGCATTACATATGATACCACGCAAGTTTCCTTGGATTCAATGAGCGGGAATTCATTCATCTATCAGCATCATAGAGGTATAGAGTTCATGCCCATGAAAGAGCTGATTCCGCACCAAAGTTAAACAGTGAGAAACTCAAGATCAATTATTTCAACAATAATATAAGAAGAGAAGCACAAATTAACTACTTCTGTTGTTATTGTTTTTTTTAAAGGAACAACTTCTCCATCCGAAACAACCTCTCTACCTTCGCAAGGTAGGGGTAAGACTGCATTCACACTACCATCGTCAAACCCCAATTCTGGAATTACACTGGATTTTTTGTTGTTGCTAAGGAACTTTTTTTTTTGAGAAGGAATGCAATGTTGTTGCTAAGGAACTACTTCTGTTGTGATTATATAGGAATTATATTGAGATATTCCAAAAGCTTCACCTTTAACTTTAGAAAGGGCAAAAGAAAAGCCATGCCATGCCATGCCACTATTTTATACCACAAAGACAGCAGTTAAAAGCAATCTCCAACAAAATAATGCATGACAAGTAATCTTCTATATGCTCAGATTAAGGATGCAATTTCTTGCGGATGATGCAAACAGTGATGACCTATCAAACTGAAACTAGAAACACCCCAGGTGGATTCAGGAACTGAAGAAGATGGACGCACTATTATGGAGAGGTAGATCTAGAATTTATATTTGACGAATTTGATGTTAGGCTGGGGAGGATGAGGGGAAGTGTGTCAATTTTTGAGAACCAGTTTGGATTCATGTCGGGACGGTCGACCACAAAAGCCATTCATTTTGTGATGTGAGGAGACGGGCGGAGCAGAATAGGGGGAGGAAGAAAGAAGAATTGCATATGGTGTTCATTGACCTATAGAAAGCCTACGACAAAGTCTCTAGGGAGGTTCTATGGAGATGTTTGGAGGTTAGTGGTATCCCAGTAACGTACACTAGGGTGATTACAGATATGCATGATGGTGCTAAAACTCGGGTGAGGATTGTGGGAGGAGACTCGGAACACTTCCCATTGTTGATGGGGTTACATCAGGATCAACTCTTAGCCCATTTTTTATTTGCTCTGGCGATGGATGTGTTGACGTGAACCCATACCCCATCACCTAGATACACCCCTGCACAAGATCATGTTGCTAAGGCAAGAATTTATACCTCAAGTTGTTCATGTAGCTGTTTCTGAACTTCCATCTGTAACCGCAATGCTTCAGTGATCTCAATACCCCTGCATCGAAACCCAAACACATCGTATAACAAAGACAACACGAGAGTACAGGTTACAGTTAGTTATGAGGGCAAAACTTCATAGTGATGCAAATAGAGCCCTTTAAGCCACCATGCCATTCTACTTAAAGGACCTGTTCTACATTACATGTGCACATAGAACTATTCCAGATGTCTTACCTCCATCTATCAGAGCCCTAACTTAACTTTTCCAATATTTTCCTTTCCCTTATCTTCGAATTTTGTTGACAACCTGAATAAAATCCTACTTTTTAACAAGTAGATCCTTCAGTAAAATTTCATATTCACCATCATTTTCACCCTTTGTCTTTTTGGAATTACCTTATACATATACCAGACCAAATGAAATATCTACTTCTCCGAATAGGTTCATGCAATGTTGTACCAATCTAGATAATAAAATTATTGAAGCCACTATATCTCAATATGTGGTTTATGTTTTCCGTCTACAGTCATATGGCAAAAGCACCAGACTGTCAACAAAGTCCATTATAAGCAACATCAGTTAAGCAAAATATGCCCCAAATATATGCCATTCGAAGTAGACAATACACTCATTAGCTTATGCACAAGAGAATATCAAATCTTATCCGAATTCCAAATGATGCATATCATAAAGCCAGAAAACAGAGGCAATGGACCCAACTACTAACGTTTTTAAGTCCAGAGCCGACAAATCGCCAATGGATGACTCTTTCTTCTCAGAGGACCCTGTTATGAGAAGGGGAAAAATAAAGGGGCTT